ACAGCAACAAACCAAATAACCCAATTAAAAACTAGGGGAAAGACCTGAATACGTACTTTTCCAAAGAACAGTCACAAAGGTCACGTGAAAAGAAGCTCAAGGTCACCAGTTATCAGGGAAATGCAAATTAAACCCACAGTAAGACGCCCCTCATGCCTGTCAAAACCGTCACATCCAAAAGACGGAGCAAATATGGCGGCATGCTCAACTAAAGATCCCTCAGGCTGCAGTGAAGACCTGGCCCAGGCAAATAAACTAAACAGACAAACGGCGGCATGGATGTGGACTACTGGGCCTCGTGCACTCCTGGTAAACTGGTAAAGCCACTATGGAAAAACTGCATAAAGGATCTCTGAAAAGAAAACACAGAACTACCATTATGATCCAGCTTTTCCACTTCTGGGTATGCTCCACGTGTGGCTGAATAGTGTGACTACTGTTCAGTCATAAAAGGGAGAAAACCCTACCATTTGCGACAACATGGGCGGGCCTTGAATGCATTTCCCTGGCTGAAGTCAGTCAGTGAGACACAGACCAACACTGTATGATCTCACTCACACGTGAAATCTAAAGCAAAACGAAGCAGGACTTCCCTGGTGGTATAGTGGTTAAGAATCCTCCTGCCAATACAGGGACACAGGTTCGATCCCCTGTCTGGGAAGATCCCACACACCGCAGGGCAACCAAGCCCGGGAGCCAGAGCTCCTGGGGCCTGCGTGCGGCAACTCCGGAGCTCGCGTTCCTAGAGCCTGTGGTCTGCAGCAAGAGAAAGCGCAGCAACGAGAAGCCTGTGCGGCACGCCTAGGGCGCAGTCTAGGCTTGTCACGACTAGAGAAACCCCCTGAGCAGCAATGCAGACCCAGTGCAGCCAAAAGTAATAAATAAATAAAATGAAGACAAAACAGAACTCACACTGAAGAGATCAGACTTGCGGGTACCAGAGGCAGGAGGGTCGGGGAGAGGCGGCCGGAGATGAAGTAACTTCCCTGACTGTGGTTTTGACAGTGTCACTGCTGGGGCTGGAGCCAGGGCCGCCGGCCTCCTCGCCCACAGCCTCAACCATTCACTCTTCAACCTCGCATCCCTGCATCACCGAGTCAAACAGCCTGAAGCTCCCTTGGGTCCTCAAGCCCTGCCTGCTCCCTCCTGAGGATGCTAGGAGTCTGCATTTCCTCTCCACTCACCGCATCAGTCAACTCCAGCACTTGCAACAGCTCACAGGACCGCTCCAACAGGAAGCGGCCCCCTGCCTCCTGGGGAACACTGCCGGTAGATCCCTAGGCTCTCTGGAAATCAACGTCTCAGTAAGTCTCCACGCTGTTCAGTGCCCTCCCCTTCACCCACAGCGTGACGGTTCTCAAACCTCAGCGTGCAGAAGGGTCGTGGGGCTGGAGGCATGCAGATTCCTGGTCCCGTCCTCGGAGATTCTGATTCTGTGAATGCAGCTCAGAATCCAGGAATTCTCATTTTTGCCAAGCACCCCAAGGAACTCAAGTGGTTTATGAGAAACACAGGTGTACAGAACAAAGTTTCTGCTTAGCAAGGAAACAACTTCTTTGCTCTCTTCACTTTATTTCATGCTTCAGGTAATGGACTCATTATGGTTCCTAGAACTACTCAGTGTCTGATCTTCTTCCCCTTCACCTAAACCTCCCCTTTCCTCCTTCTAACTGGCAGACTCTTTCTCCTTCAAAGCCGGCTTAGGTTTAGGTATCATCTTAAGAACCTTAACTCCCTGCTACCTGTCAGCCTCCCCATCCCGCCTGCCTCTGAAGGTGCTCATTCTGAAGGTACCACATCTGTCATGTCTGGCCCCTTCTAGACTGTGGCCTCCCCTAGGTCAGGCTCAGGATCTGAGCATCGCCGCCTGGCCATGCGTCGGGCACACAGTAGAAGCTCAAACAGCAGAGTCCCATTTAACTAGGGGGCTGGATGATCAGGGAGGAGAGGGGAAAGGTAAGTCAAAACTACCCCGGAAAATCTAGTATTATCCAGAAAGTAATAGTCCACTTGCACAAAGAGACACAGGCGTTCAGGCATGTACACAGCATAGCTGTCATGTATCTGCCCTTGCGTATCTGTTATAAGCCGAACGGTATCTCCACACAATCCATATGCTAAAGTCCAGTCTCAATCTCCGGCACCTCAGAATGTTAACTGTTTTTGGAGTTAAGATCTTTAGAGGTGATTAACTTAAAACAAGGCCCTAATCCAATACAACTGGTGCCTTTATGAGGAGAGGGAGAAACACCAGGAGTGTGTGAGCCTTCAGAGGACAAAGCAGCAGGCAGGCAGAGGCCTCCGGGGACACCAAGCCCGCCGCCTCCTTGAGCCTGGGCTTTGAGCCCCCAGACTGTGAGAAAATCAGTCTCAGCCTGTGGTGCCGTTGTGGCGGCCCCAGCAAAGGGAGACATCATCTTTCCTTCATTGACAAACGTGGACTTGGTGCTACATGCCATGGACTGTTCTCAGCACCTCACACACGTCTAAACACTTAAACACTTCCCCCCAGTGCCCGTGAATCTCCAAGGGTGCATGTCTCAGTGGGCAGAAGGGGAGAAGAGGGGGTCCCCTTCCCCTGGGGCAGGGCTGGGCACTCAGAATATAACTGGGGAAAAAACCCCTAAGAGACATGTCTCTTTCCTCAGGTGAGATTCACAGGTGGAGTGGTGACAACTGAAAATAACAATAGTAAAAGGACGGCCGTCTTTAACTCAGCAGTTACTGCACATAGGCAAATGCCAGCCCTAAGAATTCCTTCTTGTTTCACACCCACGGCAACCTTAAGAATTAGGTAAGATTTCATTCCCTTTATTTTAGTGGAGGAAACTGGGAGAATCAGAATCTGGCCCAGATCTGGCCCTCTCTCCACTCTGCACACTGCCTGGGAAGTGGACCCGGTAACTTGGCTGGGGGAGGGGAGATTCCAAATGCAAGACTGAGTTAGCTCTTGATGCAGATCAATGGAGAGCAGCAAGGTCAATTGTTTTGGAAGAAAAGGCAGCAGGGAACATCCAACAGCCTTAATAACAGCTCGTGCAAAAACAATGGCTGTGGATTATTTAGCTCTTCCAACATGCCAGGCATTAAGCTTGGAACTTTGAACAGTTCTGAGAAGCAGATATTTTTATCTTTTCTTTTTATGGACATGGAAACTGAAGCCCAGGGAAGCTGGGAGACCTGCCCAAAGTTGAAGCAAGTGGCAGAACCGGAGTGGCAGGCCTGGGAGGCTCCAATCCTGTGCCGCCCAGCCCACCCCGTCTGCTTTGGCAAATGTCTCAACAGCCTCTGCACCCAACTGCACAAATGGCTGGTGAATGGACCAGGGCCTCCACGCGCTGAGACGGGAGCCTGCTTGCTGGATCACAGTCTTTACAAGGATCTATCCTAAAGAATAATAAATATAGAGTATTAAATAATAAAGAGAAATGAATAATAAAAAGAGCAGCTCTTGCCCAAGAATGTTCCGGGGAGCCTTATTTTCCCAAGATGTCCACAGGAAAAGTGCTATGGTCAGAAGAGCTTGGAAGTGTTGCCTATTATCCCTCCACTGCCTGTGAGACCTACAGTGCACATCAGCAGATTCTAAAGGTACACAGTAAAAAAAAAAAAAAAATCTGTTTCCCTCACTTAAGCTAAGCTTTCCCCAATCTGTCTGAACCACAGAACTGTTTTTCTACATGTGTCAGTGACCATACCTTGGAGACCTTTTTAGAGATGCTGCAGTGGAGGACTGAACAGGTAGAAAGAGAAGCAAGTGGGAGCCACTTTTGGACATAGTAGCTAACATGTAGACTTTTTTCCTTAAGAATTATCAAATTGTGAGGACCTCCCTGGCTGTCCAGTGCTTAAGACTCCATGCTATCAATGCAGGGGGCCTGGGTTTGATACCTGGTCAGGTAACCAGATCTCACATGCCACATGGCTTGCCACAAAATAAAAAAAATTTTTTTAAATATATAATAAAAGAATTAGTAAAGTGTTGGTTGTTTTATTTAGTTTGTTTAGAAAAGAAACAGCTTTAAAAAATTGGAGGCAATAAAGCTGACAAGGGAAGGACAATTTGCATTCCCAAATCTCTTGGCTCATCCTAAACCATTCTGCTTCCATCCCAACCCCATTCTATTCTCCAAGTTTCCACCCACCCACCCTCTTAAGGCTGCTCTCCAGCTACACGCAGATGGATATAACCACAGCTTGCAATGCACCATGCCCCTTGTCCCCAGGTCTTAGAGTGTGGAAGCAGTGAGAAGCATCAGACCCTCTGCCCACAGTTACCTCCTGCGCTGGCACATTCCAGAGAAACACGTGATGTTATTTGATAGAAGCATGTCTCTGCCTTTGGGTTAGGCAGAAGTACTCTAAAGACATTATTCCCATGGGGGGAAAAGATCGCCAACATTTCCTTTAAAATGTGCAGATTATGTACACACTGCTATATTTAAAATGGATAACCAAAAAGGACCTACAGTATAGCAAAGGGAACTGTGTTTAGTATTATGCAACAAAAGAATCTGAAGAGATACATGTATATGTGTAACTGAATCACTTTGCTGTAACCTTGAGACTGATATTGTTAATCACCTACATTCTACATTCCGATATGAAATAAAAAGCTAAAAAAAAAAAAACTGCTACAAAAAAAAGTCCAGATTAGAGTGCTGTATTTTTCTAATTATCTTTCTGCTTATTTTCAGTTTCTGATTTTCCATAATACATATGCAGCGCTGGCGTGTTGAGAGGAGGAGGAGGGGAAGAAGGAGAGGGGGGAGGGAGGAAGAGGGAGCAGGGAAGGAGGAGGGGAGAGGGAGGAGGAGAAGGACACAAACCTCCGGAGAAGCCTGCATGAGCTCACCTAATAAAATACACCAGTTTATCTCCCACACCGTCAGCCCGAGTTGCAGTTGCGACCTGCCAAGCTGCAAGTCGCGACACTTCCCCAGTGCCCCCCTGAGCCAAGCGAAATCCCGCGTGTAGGCACAGCGCCGCCGGCCCCTTACCCACGCGGAAGATCAGGTCGTCTTCGATGGGGTTCTCTTTTCGCTTCCCGGTGCTGTACATGCTGGCGGGCCTCTTGACAGCCTTCTGCTTCACATGGCCGCTGCCCGGGGACTTCACGCGCCGCTTCACGCCCTCGGTGGTGGGGGACACGTCCGCCGAGCGGATCACCTTCAGCTTGAACGGGCTGCCGCGGATGTGTTGGTCGTAGAGGCGCAGCGACAGCGTGAAGTCGCCCTCCTTCTGCACGGTGTAGAGGAACTCGTACGTGCCGTTCTTGTTGTCCAGGATCTCCCCGTCGGCCACGCTGCCGTCCGGCGTGCTCAGCTCCGCCGTCAGGTAGGCGTTGCCCGTCTTGCACAGCTCGCCGTCTTTGTCCTTGGTTGTTATGGTAACGGACATGGGCTGCCCGATGATGGTCTGCCGCAGCCCCTCGCCCGTCGCCACCGTCTCGGAGGCGACGGCGTTGGTGGTCAGGATCGTCCCGAGGTTGTGGATGGACTTCTTGAGCCCCTCGGTCTCCACGATGAAGTCCAGCTGGTCGTTTTCTCGCGGGTGCAGCGGGAAATCCTGGTCCGCCAGCTCGTTGAGCTTCTCGCTCATCTGCTTCTTCACCAGCAGCACCTCCGTCTCCGTGCCGTGGTCGAGGGCCTGCGCCGTGAAGCTGCTGCAGCTCTTGATGCTCTCCTGGCCCTCGAGCAGGGCGTCCAGCTGCGACTGGAGGACCTGCGGGGAGAGCGAGCCGCTGAGCGCCGCGCGCGGCGGGCCCGGGGCGAGGGGGTTCCGGTTAACGCGGCGAGCCCGGCGGTGAAGCTAAAGCCTGCCGCCTTCCCAGCCCCTCCTCTTTCCCGTCCTCCTCGCCTCATCTCTCCCACACACATTTCTGGGATCATGTGTCTGGCGCGAGCAGAAACGTCACCGAGAGCTTGGCAGCCAGAGTGCTTCACATCTGAAGTAGTCATTACTCAGTTTCTTTCCCTAATGTTCAGAGTTCCCCTGTCATCACCTCAAGGAACAGAAACCAGACCAATGAAAGCTCCACCTCCGAATATCGGAAGCTTTCAGCCCTGGTTTTGTGATGGGACGTGCAGAGTTAAACGGAGGCTGCAGTCAGGGTTCACTCTGAACTTGACTAGCAGGTTGGTGTGGGTGAGAGAGTCATTAAGAGACTATTAGACATTATAATTAAGGAAGGAAAACAATCCAGTTTAACCCTAAATCCTGAAAGTATTACTTTATATTCAACCTTGCCTTTTATATTGTCAAGTTATAAAGTGGTACTTAAGGCCACAGAATCACAGTTTTGGTGAAAACAGGAAGGAAAACATAGCAGGAAACAGGAAAAAATATGCTGTTAAGTAAAAGCTACTCTTTACCAAACACTGACACTTAAGAAGTTTGAGTCCGCTTTGCTGCTGTTGGAACCCAGGAAGCTGGCGTCAGGGAGGCCCGGGACCAAGCCTCCTGTGGAGGTCCTGGACGGCTGGAGTCTTACCTTGTGTTTGAGGCCATAGTTGACTTCCAGCTCCATGAGCAGCACACTCTTGCGCACGTTTAAAGTCTTCTGGAGTTCATCAAAAGTAGAATGGATGTCATCCACAATGCTGGCCTTTTGGTTGGTTAACTGATGGATGATTTCCGAGATGAACTGAAGAGCAGAATCTATTTCTGGGAGCCTGGAGGACAGTTGTCAGAGGTCGTTATTCTAGTAACATCCACAGGGAAATAGTAAAAACAAAAACTATCCAAACACTATATTTTGTCAAGCAACATTTTCTATACCTTTCATCATCTTTAAAAAGTAATAACCGAAGAACAGAATGATAAGACATGCCATAATTACTGACTTTGAGAAAAGAGATTTGAGGATCCATGTCTATTTCAATCTACCTCAGTCATTTATTTTTAATAGTTGATGGTACAAAACCTCGAAGCTCTCTGAACCCCTGGGCTTTATCCCCTACTCTAAATCAGGCACACTCTACAGTGGACAAGCACAAGGTCCTACTGTATAGCCAGAGAGCTATATTCAAAATCCTATGACGCAAAAAAAAAATGGAAAAGATTATTGTGCATTGCAGGATGTTTAATAGCATCCTTTCCTCTACTCCCGCCCCCCTCCCCCCTCCAGCTGTGACACCAAATTGTCTCCAGACATTGCCGATGTCCCCTGGGGGACATCATGGTCCATGCCTGAGGACCACTGTTCTAAATAGACAGCTATATCTTTTTCCCCAATCACATGAAAAACTTACCCAAGCTCAGAGTTTCCTGTGAACTTCTTGCAAGTTTCCAAATTCTTTTAATTAGTACAGAATAGCCACACTTTTCTCACTTCAACTATTGGTAAAGATTTATTTTCAGCTGGTTGTTTATTTCCTCCCTTTGATCTTTCTCATGTATCACACAGCTACCCTGTTCCTTCATCTCCTTGCCAAATAAAGAGCCTGGAGGCAAGGAAGCAGAAGGAAAACTGAGCAGTCGCTGCTCGGGACCATTTTGCTGGGCTCAAGCAGAGAGGAGCCAGTCACAGTTGGCATAATGGCCTGTAGGTGAGTCAAGAACAGTAGCTAAGAAAGGCTCTTCAGACAGCTTGGTTTCAGGCACAAATTTCAGAGATCTGAGAGCGTTTTCCTCGAGTATATTTTCTTCATTTGATCATACGAAGGTGCTGAAAGAAAAGCCTACTTATAACAAGGGGATTGGAATTTTACCAAGGGGCAGGGCATCACCCTTATCGCTCACCAGTTTATGACCACAGAGCTGTGATCAAAGGAGAATTTACTTGGGTGACATGAACCTTCTGTCCCACTGGGACATGAAATCTGGAGGCCACAGGCGGCCAGCCGTGGCGCGGAGGGAGGCGTGCACACCTTTTGTTGACGGCGTCCAGCTGCACCTGGAGCGAAGCCTTGTGCTGCTCCACCACGTCCTTGAGGGGCACGGTGGGGTGCTCCGCGTGCTCCCCCTCCGTGCACTCCCGACACATGGCGGTCTCGCAGGACTGGCAGTAGAAGTCCATCACCTGCAGACGACACAAGAGTGGTTCCCGTTCTCGGCCACTGACCGAGCACTGGGTCTTCCCCAGCACCCTCTCAGTAATGCCCACAGCCTCCCCAGGATGTGGACAGTGTTACATCCAGCGTCACAGGAGAAAAGGAAAGATAAACTTTTGCGTGCCAGGTCTCAGACAGAGGTGGATCGGACTCCAGGGCAGCTGCTGCACTTGGCCACTGCCGTAAGGCAGAACAGCACAGTGTTGTGGTTCTCAGATATTTGGGTCTCAGGACTCCTTTGCACTCTTTAATGACTGAGCACTCGAAATGCTTTTTGTTTATGTGAGTTATATCTACAGCTACTTATATTAAAAATGGAAACTGAGAAACATTCCAAATATTAATTCATCAAAAGCAAAACTAAGCCCCATTAAGTGTGACCATAAATAATATGATTTATGGAAAGTATATTTTGCAACACAGAAAATCCTGTGAGAAGAATGGCACTGCTTTCTATTTGTAAATCTCTTCAGGGTCTGGCTTCACAGAAGACAGCTGGATTCTCATACCTGTTTCTCTGTTCAGTCTGTCTTGATAGCACATGCCATACAGTCTCTGGAAAATGCCACTGTATACTCTCAAGAGATTGGGAGTGAAAAAGGTAAATAATGCTTAATATTATCATACAGTTGTGATCTTGTGGATCCCCTGAAGCGGTCTGGGGACCCATGAGAGTTCCTGGATGGCACCTTGAGAATTGTTGCTGTTTGGATAAGAGATGAGCAGGACAGAACACTTTGCATCCTGGCTCCACCACTTACATGACCTCATCACGTCTCAATTTTCCCTCTGTCAAATAGAGACAATTGTGCAACCTACTAACCTACTTCACAGGGCTGCTATGAGGATTCAGGAGAGTAATTTGCACAAAGAACTCAGATGATGCCTGGCACTGACAAACAGTAAGTTCCTAAGCAGTAGCAGTGATGGTAATGATGATGATATCATTTGCTTACTTGAAAATAAAACCACTTTATCCTGATTAAAGATGAACTCTTGGTAATAATATAACATAAAGCCTGAAAGTTTCTTTGTGAAGGCATTCCCCTTATTCTCTCAGCTGGAAATAACTTCTTCCAATATTGAATTCCCAAAGCACTTTGAAGGGGGGAGGATTTTTTTCTTAAAGTATAACACATATCAAAAAAATCCTAACACAGATTGATTGATTTTTTCATAAAGTGAATGCACCCACTAGAGCAATTTTATTCATATCCATTTAATGAAATATTTATAAGATTTTAAGTTACTGAGCACTTAAACACTTTCAACCTAGAGCCTAGGTAACTCCTTACACATAGTAGGTATATAATGATACTGCTGAATGTATGAACCATATGCTGTTTATAATAGCCTCACTTTAGGTTGAAAGTAAATAGATGGAAAAAGATATTCCATGAAAATAGTAAGCAAAAGAGAGCTGGAGCAGCTATTCTAATATTAGACAAAATGGATTGTAAGACAAAAGTTGTTAGACAGAAAAGGACTATCAACTATACTTCAATTAAATAAGGACATTAATAATGACAAAATGGTCAATCTGTCAAGAAGAGATGACAGTTATTAACAAAGCAAAAACTGATAGAACTGAAGGGGGAAATGGACAGTTCAATAATAATGGTTGGAGATTTCAATATTGAACTTTCAATAATGATAGAACTATTAGATGGAAGATCAGTAAAGAAATAAAGAACTTGAAAAACATTATAAAAAAAAAAAAGAAAAACATTATAAGCCAACTTGATCTAACATCCACATATAGAACATTCTGTTCAATAACAATTCATTTTTGTCATGTACACATGGAACATTTTCCACAATAAACCATATACAAAAGTCTCAATAAATTTAAAATGACTGAAATCATATAAAGTATCTTCTCTGGCTATAATGGAATGAAATTAGAAATCAGTAACAGAAGGAAATCTGGAAAATTAACAAATACGTGGAAATTAAATAACATACACTAAAATAATGAGTCAAAGAAAAAATTACAAAGGAAATTTAAAAATAGTTTGAGATTTTTTATTTAAAAATAACAACATGCCAAAATTTGAGAGACAGTACTCAGAGCAAATTTTATAGTTGTATATGTCTACATTGAAAAAGAAGATTTCAAATCAATAAACCTAAGCTTCCACCTGAAGGAACTAGAAAAAGAAGAACTAAACCCAAAGCAAGCAGAAGAAAGGAAACGAAGATCATAGTGGAGAATAGAAAAATAAGAAATCAATGAAACCAAAAATTGGTTCTTTGTAAAGATCAACAAAATTGACATAATACTATGGACTGTTGTAGGTCAACAGATTAAATAACCTAGATAAAATGGATAAATTCCTAGAAACACAAAATCTACCAAAACTAATTCAAAGAAGAAATAGAACACACGAATAGACCTATAAAAGTAAAAAGACTAATCAATATTCAAAAAACCTCCAACAAAGAAAAGTCCCGGGCAAGATGGCTTCATTGGTGATTTCTACCAAAAATTTAAGAATAATTAACACCAATCTTCAAAGTCTTCAAAAAGTAGAAGAAAAGGGAACATTCATTCATTCTAATAGGCTGGTAATATACTGACATCAAAGCCAAAAACATCATGGAAAAAGAAAATTATAGACTAATATTCCCTATGAATATAGGTGCAAAAATCCTTTACAAAATACTAGTAAACTTAATCCAGCTGCATATTAAAAGGACTAAACATATAATCAAGTGGAATTCATTTCAGAAATGCAAGGGTGGACCACATACAATAATCAATATATGTAATACACCATGGTAATAGGATGAAGGGAAGAAAACCCATATGATCATATTAGCAAATGCAAAAAGAGTATTGACAATACCAACATCCATTCATGATAAACATGCTTATCAAATTAGAAGACATATTCCTCAACTTGAAAAAGGGAAATTACAAAAACCCCACAGCTTCTTTAATGGTAATTCCCTAAGATCAGAAACAAGAAAAGGATGTCCACTTTGCCACTTCTTTTTCACTTTTGTCACTTCTATAACAGTGTACTGGAAATTTTAACCGGACCATATAGGAAAGAAAAATAAATAAAATGCATTCAAACTGGACAAGAAGTAAAAATTTCTCTATTCAGAGAAAATCTCCAAGAATACACATATGCACACACATACATACAATACAATATTAGACCTAACAAATTAATTCAGTAAAGTTTTAGGATACAAGATCAACAAACAAAAATCAGTTTTATTTCTATCCACTAACAATGAAAAATCAAAAACTTAATTTAAGAAAATTCCATTATAATAGCATTCAAAAGAATATAAAATATTTAAACAATAAATTTAACCAAGAAAGTTTAAGACTTATACACTGAGAATTACAGAATATTGTTGAAAAAAATTAAATAATAATGGAAATAAATGGAAAGATATCTTATGCTTATGACTTGGAAGACTTAATATTGTTAAGAGCGCAGTATTCCCCAAACTGATCTACAAATTCAATGAAACAGCTATCAAAATTCTAACTTCTTTTTTTCACAGAAGTGAACAAGCTGTTCCTAAATTAATAGAGAATTGCACTGGGACCCTGAATAGCCAAAATAATCTTAAAAAAGAGTTTGAAGAGCAAAATTGGAAGGCTCATATTTCTAAATTTTGAAACTTACTACTAAGCTAGTGTAATTAAAATTGTGTTACCAACCTAAGAACAGGCATGTAGATCAATGGAATAGAATTGAGAGTTCAGAAGTAAAACAATACATTTATGGTCAATTGATTCTTGACAAGGATGCCAAGACCACTCAATGAGGGAAACAGTTTTTTCAAGAAATAGTGTCAAAGCCACTGGATATATAAAAGAATGAAGCTGAAACCTTACTTCACTGCATATATAAAATTTAACTCAAAATAGATTAACAACCTAAATGTAAGGGCTTAAACTATAAAAATCCTGGGAAAAAACCCATAGGGTTAAATCTTCATGACCTTGGACTTGGCACCAGATTCCTGGATATGACACAAAAGCACAGCCAAAATAAAAAAGATAAATTGGACTTTATCAAATTAAAAACTTGTGTATCAAAGGGCAGTAACAGAAACGTAAAAGGAATGGGGAAAATATTTCCTAGATATACATCTGATAAGGATTCAGTATCCAGAACATATAAAAAAACTCTGTAACTCAAGAACCCAATTCAAAAATTGTCAAAGGAATTAAATAGACATTTCTTCAAAGAGGCTAAATGAATGGCCAATTTTCACAGGAGAATTCTCTCAACATCGTTAGTCACTAAAAAAATGCAAATCAAAACCACAATGAGACATCACAGCACCTAGGAGGGCTAGACTCAAAAAATCAGACAATAACAAGTGTTGGGAAGAATATGGAAAATCAGAACTCTCATACTTTGCTGGTGTTCAGCTCTACCATATGACCCAGCAACCCAAGAGAACTGAAAATATATGTACATGCAAAAACTGTACATGAATGTTTACAGCAGCTTTATTTATAACAGCTCAAAGTGAAAAGTGGAAACAACCCAAATATCCATCAACTCATGAATGGATAAATTCATGGTTATAAGTTGTGGTATATTATTTAGCCATAAAGAAACGAATGATGTTCTAATATTCACTACAATATAGATGAACCTTGAAAACATTATGCTAAATGACAGAACCTAGACTCAAAAGGCCACATATTGTAGGATTGCATTTATATCAAATGTCCATAATGGACATATCCTTAGAGACAGAAAGCAGGTGATGGGTGCTAAGGGTTGGGGTGGTGGGGAGGGGATGAACAATGACTGCTTAATAGATACACAGTTTCCTTGGAGGATATAATGAAAAACTTCTGGAATTAGTAGTGATGTTTGCACAACCTTTTCAATACACTAAAAAGGGCTTCACTGGTGGTTCAGTGGTAAAGAATCCAGCTGCCAATGCAGGAGATGTGGGTTTGAACCATGGGCTGTGGGTTTGA